TTCCATTCATTCATTGTTGCACTTTTCTCCTCGCCTACCCGCCCCCCATTCGCTCCTCTCCTTGAAAAGCAATAAAACCCCTCCTTCATTGGAAACAATATTTTAACTTGTAGACATTAGTACTTTTTCAAGCATTAATAATATTTTCAAAAATTTATCTCTTATAATCAATAGACACAGTTCTGTGACAACTGATATTCCATTACTTCAAGGGTAAGTATTCTAAATAGAATTTTAAAAGATTGGAAGGAGATAAACATGTATATTTATAATGCTTGTTTCTGGACTGTAAAATTAGAATTCATTTTTATCCATTTGTGTTTCTGATATGTTATTTCCAGTACTATTTAAGTGAAGAATAAAATGAACTCGTGGGCTTTTTGCTATGTCTCCTATATAGTACTTTTAAAAGAACAAGAGTGTGATATTATAAATCGTAGTTCAGTTTATTGTAATTCTTATTCTCTATAATGTATCCTTTTGTACCATCATAATAGCATGATTTATTTCAACATTGTACACTAAAGAACAGTAGTTCAGATTATTTAAGTAACATTCTCAACATATTTCTGTTAATAGGTGGCAAAGTCAGAATTAAATACAACGTGATATATTTTTAATCCTTTACTCTTTGCTGAAATATGCTTCAAGATATACCAAATTATCTAAATCAATCCAAATCTATTGCACAATACCTTAAAGACATAACTATGCATTAAACTAGTTAGAAAAATAAACACTTGCGTTATTTCTTGTGACATATTTACATTTCATATATTTTAAATTATCTATAAAATTGTTTCTTATTTTTAGGTAAACATGTCATTATTAATTGTTAGTTCTAAACTTTCCCCTTTTTAGACATAATTATTTGGTTCTTTTCCCTCTTTCAGAATTGAAATTTTTGAGGAAGACTAGGAGCTTACTGTCAGTGGGGATCATGAAGAACATTGTTGTTGTTGCTGTTTACTATAATGGAACTCTGATGGTTTAGAGGTAAGAAGCTGCAATGCAATCACAAAGGCACATAGTTCAAATCTACCATCTGCTTTGTGGGAGAAGGATGGGCAATCTCTGTGCTATTAATTGGCTCTAGTGAGGACATACTAGATGGTCAACTATGGGTCAATTCTGACTTGATGACACACAAAAACAAAGCAGCAACATAAAAACATTAGAATTTATTAATCTTGAGTGCTTATTTTTAAAAATGTAAAATACAAGCCTCCTTAAATAATATACACATTTCTCAGACTCAGCTATGCAGATATGGAGCCTAGGTATTAATCTTCCAAACCACAAATTACATACTTTCCTCACTCAGTATTCTCTGAGTTTTCACTTTACATATACCATATATGGAGGCCTGGTTGTGCAGGAGTTAAGCATATGAATGATAATAAAAAGTTGGTGAACATCTAATAATATCTAAACAATAAGGACATTTCAAGCTAGTGCTGACTAAAGCAAAGAAATGCATTTGTTTACAAGCAACTGTAAGTATAACATTAGATTTATTGTTATATTAAAGTACTACTTT